ATCGCTCGGTAGCGCAATTCCGCGTTTCTTCGTAAGAAGGAAACATCACGACGAAAGTTCAACATTTCCATGCAGAGGCGGACCCGGGCAAGAAAGTTCATCGCAACTTTTTGCTCCGAAAGCGCTCGCGTGCTCTCGCCGTCTCTATTGTCTCCCCCCTCTCTCTCTCTCTTTCCCTCTCTTCTTCTCCTTCTCCTTCTCTCCCGCTCCGTTTCTTCCGCTTTAGAGTGCACGTCCTTGCCAAGGGTAGTTCAAGGGAGGGACCTATCGAGCCGCTATTCGAATGCGGCGCGCGTAAGCGAGAACATCCGGTGCGACGACGTGCGGTGATTTTTGCGGCGCCCATGAGCAACGTGGGGTATTTTCGTCGCGACCTCGCAACGTAGCGATTTTTCCTCTCGGGAAAATCGACAGACTAATCGTCAGCTCGCGCGACAAGGCGAAGTCGCACAGCTATACTCCGCCCGTGTCTCGTCCTTGGCGAGTAGTAGCGCGCGACGCGTGGGCTTTCCGACCGAGCCGGCCAAAGTTTCATTCACAGAAGAGCTCCGGCGATTACTCGCCCTCCCAAATGGCGCATGGTGAAAGAGAAAAGCCGGACGGACGGACGTCACTTCTGCATTGGCGAATTTAATGCGTTGCAGCCGACGTGCTCCTCTAAGCTCGCATCAAACGTAAATAAAAAGAGCGTAAATGAAGGGGGGGGCCTTCGGAAGACCGCGCTCCGAGAAGGCTTTGCGTGAACGAGTGATAATACTTATCCGATTATTTCGCGACACGCTTTGTGCTTCCGAAAGCGTGTCTGCATAAACCGACTCGTACGTAATTTTGCCTCGATCGATCGTCGTTTTAATATTGATTTCTCTCCGTGAAAAGGGAGAATCGTGAATGATCGCGACCGACACATACCGTATTCATTCTCGCTCGACTCCGTCGTGTGTCTGACAAATTCGGCGCGACTTTCGAAACTCTTCGCGTGCAAGCAAATTCCGATGAAAGTTGCACGCGGCTTGGCAAAGACGGACGCGGTTGTGTAGAGCGTTTTCCTGGAAGCGGCGGCCTTCGAGCGAATTGAGTCGTCGTCATTAGGCGACACATCGCGCGAATTCATTTCCGCGAGTTTTCGGCGGACGGAGATTCTCAGCTTGTTAAAAACCGTTGCTAATTTTATCCGACGCGCACAGAGCGCCGAAAGAAGCCTCCGTAAGCGTCCGAGCACACGCCGTCCTTGGCGCGATCCTGGCGTCTAGAATAGGCCGGCTATTTTTGGAAACGTATTGAGAACTATTTACGCCCAAGGGTAAATATATCGACAATCGCGCTATAGCGATTAAGAGTCAATGTTTCCTTCATCGTCTCGGCGCGTCGTTCACGTGATTAAATCGGTGATCGATCGAAGGCCAAATAAAACACGAGGAAACGACGCGAGAACGCGATCGGGTTTCATCAACGATACACGACGATTCCACGATTCGGTCAGCTGAGTCGGTGCGCCAACCCGTATTTCGTGTGTTCAGCGGCCCCGATATTTATTCGAACGACCGTCGACCTCGTCGATTCGACCGCTTTTTTCTCAGTGTAGACCAGGTAATATTTACCTGACGGCGAGTTCAAATCGTCGATAAGATTAGTCCGAGTTCGACGAGTGCACCCTTCCGCTGCAGTTTTAAGAACGATGAGCAAAATGGACCGATTTCGGCGTGGCAACTAAAAGAAGAATGCCTTCTTCTCTTCTAGCTTTCGAGCTACTGAATCTGATTCGGACTTGAAAAAAATTTGCTTTCGTCGGAAAAAATACGAAAATCAGCGCGTGGAAGTGTTCCGCGATCAGTTCCGCGCGTTGCGATGAAATTGAATCACGATCCGCGGGCTGTGGATGTGAAATGAAGAATTCATCATCGGCGCGTATGCATCAATGCAACGGACACCCGGCAATCGCGGCTTCAATAACGTGTAGACACGCATAAGGGCGTGTAACGTGGATAATAGGATGATCCTGTGGTTGCCCAGGGTGATGTCTAAATGCGCATAGTCAAGTGGGACCGGCGTTTCATATACCGACGGCGTGCACACACACACATGCACACACTCGATCGTACGCGCTCGTACAAACACACGGACGAGAGAGAGAGAGAGAGAGAGGGGAGGAGGGAGATGAGGAGTATCTAACTAGAGCCGCAGAAGATAGAGTGTATCCTAACGATCGGTCTCGTCTGAATAATTCCCGGATAAGTTTCGTACGTGCGGAGAAAGTGAAGTCGCGCTTGCATCTCTACGGCCTCATTATAGATCGCATCGCGTGGGTGGAAATTTACTGGAACAGACAGCGACACGTTCCGCCCTTGCGATTTTCCAAAGGCCGCCTTCGTCCCGGCCGCGCCGCGACGCACGTCCGCGATAACAGGCAACACTCTAACGCTATTTCTTACTTGTTCTTCTTCCGCCTCTCGCACGAAAGAGTGAGGTTGAGGGAAAGGGAGTACGGTGGAAGCGATGGCGGATAAGCATGAATCAAATAAAATTTCAAGGAGAACGCGTCGCGCAGCGGTTCGAAATGTAGCAAATTGCGTAGACGTAGCGGATATCGCTCTCGCGTAAATAAGCGAAGATGCAACGGTTTTATGTTACTTTTTTTCTTAATAATGAAACCGGAGCAATTTACGGAAACAGAGCCCCAAAAACCGACGTATCTGTAATTATAGGAAATTACGAAAAGAATAAAAGCACTGAAATTACATTATTCCGTACATTTATCATATATCCTTACGTGTTATCTTTGGTTTGACATATTTCATAAAGTTTTACAAATTCTACGATGCATATCCCTTTTTTTTATTACGCGAAAAGGTTTGCTTCCACCGAGGTTCTTCGCGTCAGTCAAATTATTTCATAGTTCCGGAAAACTTTTGAGATTCTTTAGATAACGATTTTGAGACTTCATCGCTGGTATTTCTCAAGTATTTCTCACCCACCCAAGACACACCGCGCGGATTTGCCTCTCTTTGTGCGTTAAACGCGACTTGAGCGAGAATTTCCGCGATTCAATTTCCGGTGTGCGCCCACCGCTTCTTTTGCTTTCTTCGTATGCGCCGAATAGAAAAAGAAATTCGGTGACACCCGGTGCCAAATATCCCGCTCGTCCTACGTTATTACGAAGGCGTCACGGTAACTGTGTTACCGTACTCTCCCCTTGACACGTATTATATTACACCGAGGAAAAAATGCTTTGTAAGCGTTACACCACGGCGGTAACGCGGCAACCATCGAGAAAACAACGGCGCAGCCTCGCCGTCGCTTCTGACGAAGAATTTGGCCCGCCGCCAGACCGACTGCCGAGGCTAACGACATTGGAAAATATCTGTCGAGTGATTCGTCCGGGAGCGTAAAAGACGTTCGCGTTAGCAAAATTCGCGGGGGGCGATGCGGCGAAACGGAGCGGACGTGAGAAGAAAAATCGCGCCACGTGTCGTCGCATCGCCGAAACGTCTCGGCGGGCGAAACCGGGAAACCGACGCCTCGTGCACGGGTTGATCGTTATTATGCGTCGCGATGTTATTAACCGCGCCGGATGGTGTGATATCCAAGCACACGTGTGGTTTCGCAAATCGGATAAACCATAATATCAAATCGTGCGCATAATTATTCACTCATTGAGTTGCAAAGTATCGCCGCGGTCATAAATTAATCGAGCCTGTTGGTTAACCGTAATCGCGGTTATTTAAATAAATATCCCCTACGGTCATCATCTCGTTTCAAATCAATCAGTAAAATTGATTCCCCCGCTCTCATTATTGCGCTACATGCTTCACCGCTCGTATGGAATATTTCAAAGGACGACACTCTCTCTCTTTCTCTCTCTCTCTCGCTCTGCATCGCTGCGTCGTTCGTTGACTTCGTATTGAGGTAGTGGTAGCGTAAAATGAGTTTTTTTTTTTTAAGAATCCGTTGCAACCTGCGTTACATATAGATTTGATTATGACCTTACCACATTGGCGCAATTAAAAAACGATTGACTTGATACGAAGATATTCATAATATTCATATGGTAAATTACTCAAAAGAAATAGTGATTGATTTATGATAAATGATAAGTAAAAGAGTAAATCAGATTTCGTGTTTTCATGATGTTGACGTAATAAACGCACAACTTTCCATCACCGAGCTTCGAGCGGTGCAGAGGGAAGGTCGTACAAAAGACGTTATGTAGCAGCGGAAGGATTCGTATAGGAATGAAGATTTTAACAATCGCGTTTGTTACATTCATCCCGCGTTACTTTTGCCCCTGATCACCCCTATGCATATATTTGAACACTTACACACCTCTTCCTCTTATTCGGCTATCTCTATTAGACCGAAAAATGCATAAAAATATTACTAATAAGAAAAATAAAGAGTCACAATCTCATATTTGTAATATTGTACACATACGTTCATCTCAACTTGGTTCGAATTAACATTTCTAATTTCGGTAGTGAAATAAATGCGCGGGGATATCATTTTATTCGGCAGATATTAAATTCACGAGCGGCCGGCTTCCTTTCTCCGCCTCGACCCACGGCGATTCTTTACATTCGATCGCATCGCCGTGCTAGAATTGTCGAACGTATTAGCGATAACGAGAAAAGACCATCCTTCATTCTCCGTCCTCGCAGCGTCGAAAGTGGGGAATCTCGCAACGACAGCATGGTAAAGCGAACGGGACCACGTGAACCAAAGGATTAACGAGCGCTCGGATGGAAAAAACTTCTTCCCTTCCCCGTCAGATAATGTCGCGCGCGAGCGACACGGTCTCGTAAACCTCGCGCGTTTGCCAACCTAACCGTCCGACAGCTTGATCCTCGCGCTCCATATCCGCGCCGGAGGACGAACCGCCGCGAACACGGTCGTCAAATTTGTCAACCCTTCGGCCCGCATCCCCCTCGTCCATACTTTACGGTGGTCGCTAACGGCTGGCCGNAAACGAGAGAGATGCCGGCCGGCCGGCATCTCTCTCGTTTCAGCTGATAAAGGTATGCTGCTGAAGCTCGACTTCCGGGACAAGTTCAAGATCGAAGACAGCCCGAACTGCCATTTCGATTTCCTCGAGGTACGTGACGGCCAGCACGGCTACTCTAATCTCCTCGGCAACTTCTGCGGCCCGAATTTCCCCCCCGAGATCACGTCGAAGACTCGCTACCTCTGGCTGCATTTCCACAGCGACGAGAACATCGAGGGCGAGGGCTTCAGAGCAGTGTGGACCATGATACCGAGACCGACCCATCGTAAGTTTCGAAGTCGAGCGGAGTTCTCTGGAGCGGAGGCACCGTCCTCTTCTCACGGCCGGCCGCTGTGTTTTTCAACCAATTAATCGGAAATGTGATTCGCCTTAATTTCGTTCAAGTTCGAATCTGAAATTCAGTTTAACACTATTCCTCCTTTCTCTCTCTCTCTCTCTCTCTCTGTCTCTCTCTTGCGTGAGTTCTCTCAATAAAAGCACGAGCCAGCGGCTGCTTGGCCGCGCTTCATTGACGTTGTTGATACATTCCTACGAAGGGGAAAGGAAACATCCGCCGATAGAGCGAGAGCGAACGGGCGCTTTCAAAGCGTTTCATTTACCGTAGTTATTAATTTACTCGACGACGCGAGCTGCGCTCTCGCTCTCGAGAAGGGGTCTGGGAAAAAATTATTTCGCGAGACTGCCCGGCGATATTGAAGCTTTAAATTTCATTAGTGTCCGTACAAATCAGAGGCTCGCCGACTTCTCTCTCTCTCTCTCTCTCTCCTTGTTTCTTCGCACACACAGCCAGGAATTTGTCTCGGCCATGGGCTTCGTTCGCCTAACTCTGATCTACAGCCGACCGTTGCTCGAACACGAGGCTCATATATATCCCGTGGACGCGTAGACCGCAAGACATTAAACCGGTCGATAACGAGCTCGAAATCTTGCAGTAGCTCTTCTCGTCTTGGTTCGCATGATTCTCGCGGGCGAGCCGAGAGAGAGAGAGAGAACTTGTTGCTGCGATAATTAGCCCGACACAATGGCGATTGAAACTAATTTCCTCAATATACGTAGTGTTAATCTAATAACAGAGCATAATAACCGGCGTGTAACGAAAACATAATTGGCCTCCTCACTGAGCAGAATATTTCGTTCGTGGTAACGTTAAATTGGACGTCGAGAGGAGTAACAAAAGATAGAAATTAGGGGTTGTAAATGAGGATCAATGGTAACAGTAGAGGAGAAGCGGTAAAACTGACCACGTTTCTCGGCTGTAAAGTATCGAACTCTTGACCGGACGGAACATGAACTTCGTTTACCGTTTGTGCACCAGCTGGACTGGTTTTCCTTTGCAAGCGCGTTCGGTTGTGTCATCAGCGTCGTTTGCGTTGTTTCGGCTGTTATCGATATTTCGTTGAGCGACCTTCCTGTGAAAATTAAAACAACAAATCACCGACAAGTAATTCATATCGCACCACTGTTTTACGTGACAGTTTCGAACATTTCAAGTCACTTTAGATCTTTTAACAATTTCTACTCTCTGTCACTGAACCATGCCAAAATGTCGAGTAATTCTGTAAACCGATATAGTTTACAGGCCTCTCAATCGACATATCTGAAATTTGCCGTGAAATATCCACTTCACAGAATACAATCCAGGCTACCGGTGACTGATTCCTTACTCCTTTCCTCGCTTGTTTATTTTTAAGATCATCGGAGAGAAATCAAGTAATTTCTCTTCCCTTTCCGAGAGACGAGGTTAACGAGCGCGATGACAACTAACGATTCGGAAAATTGCGAGACGCTTCGGAAGTGGATGGCCGGCGCCAGCCACGAGTGCGCCGCCGTGCGGTAAAATTAATTTACAGTCAACCGGCGAAACCGAGAGGATTATGAATACGCGAAACACAAGGGAACGGCGAGACTGGTTTTAACCAAGCGTCGTCCTTAGATCGATACACGAAACAACGGGGGGAGGGGGGGGGGAATAGAGACGGGCGCGGTCAGCGCGATCAAACAATGAAAATTTTATCTGGTCGGCGGTTGATTAACTCGATCGTTACAGAGCTCCAATATTGATGTTCAATATTGGAGGACGTCTGGCATCGTGGACGTCCCCAGCCGCGGTATTGCCACATCTGACGCGCTTTCCACGATGTGCTTTTGTTAATGAACATCTGTTCTTTAATGAGGTTAAGAAAGAGATGAAATACGAATCGAAAAACGCGCGCCACGCTTTGTTCCCCGCGGCGTGCGCTTCGAAATGTCGGGAAGCTGCGGTGAAAGTCGAATGAGTCGAACGCGATAATTGATTTGTCCGCGAAACGCGCCACGATATCACATCTGTGCGAAACGGATTGGTTTAAGATACACAACGATGTACCAGTTGTGCCTTATGTTCTCTTCCGGTTTACTTCGTCGTTTTTGATATCGGCTTTCTTTCGGACACTTGCTACCCGTCGTTAAATTTCGCTTCTTAAACTCTTTTCTGCCATCTATTCTCCGTTTAATAAAATTATTTTCGTTACTATTACAAAACTGATTTGTTGTTTTCAGTATTTCAATAATGATAATTTTTTCCTCTTATTATTCCTAAAGAATATTTGATGTTTAGCAGTGTGTTTGTTTATTTTTTTCAGAAAGATTATTGTGTACCGTGGAAAAGTTTATTCAACACGAATAATCGTACTCTTGCTGGAAGAGTTGGATTCTTAGCTTTTCCGAGAATTTTATAATTTGTTGTTATATTTGTTCCGCTTGGAGATGTTAATTATGTCCAGCCGTGATCGAAGGATTATGGTAGCCGCGCCATAGCTGTCCGTAACTACTTGTCCTGCACGCAAGCCACGGAAGTTCAAAGATCAGTAGAGAGTACTACGCGCATGTAATAGCACATTCATTATTAATAAAGGTCACGTTGAAATCGCACGAAAATGTCTTAACTCGAAGAAAAGTTAGCGTAGAGATGCGAAGCAAAAACGGATCTTTTTCCCCCTGTTTATTCCGCAAGACATTGCGTTAATTGCAAGTGCACTTTTCGTGATACGCTGTATATAAAGAGTACTACAAAATAATATGTCATTAGAATAATGTATTGCGCGAAAAAGAAATGATCTCATTATATGTCGTTGCACTTCTTGCCGTATTTAATAATTATTAATAATTATTCATGATGATATATCACTGGTTAACGCAAAAATTATATTCTGGGTCTAAACCGTTAATTCTAGTTAATTTCATGTGTGGTGTTGATCACAAATATAATACTCAAAATCCAAATTTAACTCTAATTTCTATCATATAATAATCATATAATAAACAACAATCAAAGAGAAATTCGATATTTTAGACTTTCGTGGAAAAAAAGAAATGTCTCCAAAATCATTTATTTTAAAGCCAATTTTTTTACTTTGAGATGATGTGTATGGCAACCCTATAAGAGTTCACAGATGAAGCGTATGTTTTAATTTTCTGTAAAAAAATAGAGACTATTTCTATTTTTTCGTTGTAACATTCTTTATTTTGAGACCGTTAAAAGACGTCTGATAATATGACATCAAAAAAAATTTTGTTTCTTCGACAGTATGAAACATAAAAATAAGAAATTATACTAAAGATATGTTTTGTTCCGTTATTTTCACGTTTTATACCATTAATGAAAAAAATTGAAATATAGCCTATTTTTTTAATTGTAGCTAAGTAATTTTTCTTGCTGTCATTTTCCATTTTTTAACGCATGAACATAAATGAAAAGAATTAAAGTTCAAAGAGGATACAATTTATGATACGAAATTGATCAATTTATTAATCATCGTTTACCGTCGAAAGTAAAAATAGCAATATCAATGTAATGACGAGCAATCGAACATCAATATGAGCGTTCCCGTGCGAGCTTAGGGAAAGTGTAGAACTGTAATAGGTGTGATTCACAGCGGGCGTACCACCGGAACCAGAACCGTGCATAGTTAACGTGACGGGTATGCAGGCGATAATTCAAAGCAAGGACGTCGAAGAGAGGAAGAACCTGGCCGACAAAGAGGGAGTCGCTTTGGACTGCATGTGGGTCATCCGAGTGCAAGAGGGATGGAAGGTATTTCTTCTTTTGCAATGGTTCTCCCTTAGCGATTAGTCTCCATTGGGTAAACACATCAACGTCGGAGCCTCTATCGGAATTTAATATCGACGCATGGAGCGTGAAGCGTTTCCCTCCTGATATTCCCTCACAGTCGTATAATGTTGCAATCCTTATATGATTCGAGCTTACTTCACTACGGGGCATATCGGATCGATACGAATGTTTGTTATTGGCCCGTAGTAACGTGACTTCAAGTGCCATTTCACTCAAGGTAACGCGTTTCTGAATGATTTACAATAGCTCTCTTGGCTGGGCGCAGCGCGGAAATACCGGAATGTCTTTGCGGAAACTGTATGTAGGAGAAAGGGGGATAAGATGACGATGTGCTAATTTTTCTAGGTTAAAAACAAGTAACGAGCCGGTGCCCGACTCATTACAGAAGACTTCAATAATAAAAATAATTTGACTTCAATCAACGATAGTAGATAATTTAATAAAAAATACATTTTGGACATATTCATATGCAATTTGGAGACATTTCCTCATTTGGAATTATACAATTATAATATATATTCTCTTTTTCTCTATAAAAAAATCTACTATATAATATATATAAAAAAGAAAATATATATATATATATAACGTATTTATACGTAACATATAAATAATATAACATATTTTTTATTTCTTATACTGCAAAATTTATTTAAAATAAATAAACATAGCGTCCATGAGGTAAAATGACAGATATCATGTGTAGGTACGACGATGCATTGGTACATATTGTGTTTTAAATTATACAATTATAAATGTTTTATTCTTGTCTAGATTTTTTTTTTATTTTCATTTAGTTAAATTGTCACAAATCTCATATTTTTTCCTTGCAAATAATATTTTTATTCGTATTTTTATTTTATCTATGTGTTTATTTCATTCGTATTTTTATTTTATTTGTATTTTATTATACCGAACAGATATTAAAGTAACAAAATAATATGACAAATTTTTGAGAATTACTTTACTATGCGTAAAAGAATTATATTTTTAACTTTTATCATCCTACCTACTACTAAAAGTCATCTCATCCACGTGTGAGGGCAAGGTTACGAGATTGACACGTCCTCGATAAATTTAAATTCAACAAAATTGTAATTTGTTTATAAATTTTTCCGTTATGTGTGTAGATAATATGTAGATAATAAGTAAGGCTTCAGCTACTCCGAAGAAATGAATCATTATTTTCACATTACTACGAGAATGAGGAAGAATCAACAAACCTTATGATCGTCATTTAACCCCTCTTCTCCCCTATCTATCTCACGATACCCTTGAGTAATCGCGATTATCGTTTGCCTCTTAACTAATAACGGCGCCGGGCCGGAGGAATCTCCCGGTTTTCGAAACACTGTTATTAAAATTTTTAACGAAGCTGAAACATTTCGCGATCTCCCGCTGGAAACTATGCGCAAAATTACCCGTTTCCTCTCGAACGACAAAAGTCGAAGTTTGCGCGCGTTTGCTTTTTCCGAGCTACGGCATTCTCTACCGAGGAACTACCGCCGCGCAATTTTGTAATCGACAGCCGGTTGAACAGCCACGCACGCTCTCGAATTATTCGTGCAGCGACTGTGTTTCATATTCTCTCCGGGGGAACGTCTTTGACGTCACCTCGGCAACATTACGCGGCCCGTTTGTTGCCCGACCGGGATAGACTTCGTCTGCCGTGAAAATACAAGTGCTCTCGCGACGGCGCAATTGTAACGCGGACAACAAGCGCCCCGGCAATGAGCGAGCGAGCGAGCGCGTTGCTTAATTGCGTCGCAGGATTCTTTGAGTCGTCAGTCTCTCGGTTTCTCGGTTTCTCGACCGCCTAAGGGCGGTAAACCGAGATGCGCGCGCCTCTGTGTATATATGTGTGCACTTGGGAAAGTGGAAACCCGTTTGCAATTTCCAGATCCAGCTGACGTTCGACAGTTTCAAGCTACAGCGGCCGAACGAGTGCGAAGCCAACTTCGTGGACATATTCAAGGAGCGCACGGACATGTCCTCGAGGGAGAAGAATTTCTGCGGCAGCATCGCCGACACCGTCGTACTTTCCAACAACATCGCCCACATGAGGTTCTACGCCGAGCCGAAAGCCGCCAACAGCACTTTCGAAGCGGTAATGACCGCAGTCAGGGACAAAGAGAGCGGTGAGAGATGTGAGTATCCGAATAATAATAATAAACGTGCGTATATCTTGAATCAACGGCTGCCGTTTCCGAAGCGGCGAGCTTCACGAGCCTGCGAATCGAAGCGATCATTAAGGCGCGTATACACCTAGCGAACAAATAACGAACAAACAGCGAATGTGGACGTTCGTTGTTACGATTCGAAAATGTGTAGCTTTAGCGAATCCGAACGGAACGTTTGATTCGCGTTCGGGCCGATTCGCTCTCGAGACGTTCTCTAGGACAGGAGAAGTTCGCAAACATTCAATTAGCTATTAGTTGTGATTTGTTTGTACTTTTAGATTCAACAATATATATCAATTAGATTCAAGAGTTCCCTGAACGTTTAGTAGTACCTGACGGTAGTCTTTCGCTTGGCCAAAATGGAAATTTTAATTTTAATTTTAATTTTAATTTAACGCGTTCCGCGTCAAAAAATTTCGCATGATTTTTCGTTCAGTTCACGTAGCTACGAATGGCATCCACATAGCAAAATATATTATAAATGTTTTTGCTTACACTAGAGGATGTTTTTAAAAAAAGCAAATAGCATAAAATATTTTGTGAGATAATATTGATGCAAAATAGAATATACGCGAGAGATCGAATTTTAATATTAAACGAGACAAAAATCTGAAATTCACTACCTGAAATTTTTCGAATAATACACATTCACATCGACGTCTCTGCCGAAGGTTCCCCGGGATATTCCGTATACAATCGATATTTTTGATAGTTTTTGACAACGGCATACGAGTTCGCTCTCGATCGTTCTAACTACGCTATCCAACTGATCGTTGCGGTCGGACTAACAACGTGGAAATTGCCTACACCCTGTGCCCCGAAAATATCAGCTGCAATTCCACACAATTTTTCCCCGGTGTCCCACTTATTGCGTAGATTTTTATTCCGCGACCGCGCGTATTACGGGACCGGCCATTTGAAAACACAGCCGCTGCGGCAACTTTCCTTTTGACTCATCGTGCCGTATCAGTTTAATCCCCCGCGGGATTAGGAAATGACTGGACGATATTTTAAACGTTGCTACCCCGGTATAATAATTATAGTTAATTAATAATTATATTCGCGAACTAGTATCGCTGCTTATAAAATTAATGCAATTAAAATCTTGAGATATAATGCACAATTGGATTAACGATGTTAATAAATATCAATATATACTCTTTATTATAATTAACTTCTATACTAACTCCAATTGCCTCCCTCCCTTCTTCTCACCCCTTCTCACCCCTCTCTTCTTCTTCCTCTCTCTCTTTCTCTTCCTCCAATCTCTCTCCCCCTCTCACTCTTCTCCCCCTCTCTCTCTCTCTCTCTCTCTCTGTCACTTCCTCTTTTAAAATAAGTGCTTCATATTACCGATGGTCGACGAATTTTTCAAAGGCTGAGCGATATTAAGTTATTACAAGACAAAGGCTCACATTTGAGCACTTTTAACCTATAATTATACGCATGCTTCATTCAATAAGTATCTCACGGTCACGGCGAGGCTGGATAATCGCTGGGTAAAGGAATCAAATTTCAAATTAATAGCCGCGCACTCGTCTGAATGTTAAATGAGGTGGCCCGCAGAATCGCAGTTACGTGTGCGGAATTCACGGGTTCTAGTACGGCACGAGAAGAATTTCCGGCTTTCCGCACCTGCCGCCAACGCGAAACTAATATCGTGCCAGCGACTACATCCCGGTGTTCGGCAATTCCCTTATCTCAGCCGCCGTCGTACGATAAAGCTTTAGGTTACAATTTTCCCATGCGGGCTAAGACTATCGCGATTATTTCACAGGGGAAGATTCACCGTAGAAGCTTTAGAGAGATTAAGCTCGCTATAAATCTGCTGGAAATTTTATATACGTCACGTCTCGAGTATGCTAAGGAAATTACACTTCTGCCAATATCGTGAAGATAACGAAATATCACATGAGATAATTAGGAGCTTAGCTGAAGTATAGTTGAGACTTAATATTTAACACTGTTTGGCACTCACGGGTCAAATTAAACTGAGTGAAACGTCCGTGTCAAATCCGAGAATCACACGAGTGAAAAATTAAGATCCTATAATTGTCGAATGTTGAATTATTGAACTATTACACGAATTAACATAGATTTTTCTCATAAAGTATTCAACAATTTTTTTTACTTTTTTCTATTCAGAATCAGCACGCTGTCTTCTTTTATCCTGTCTGTTTTATAAATAATATTTCGGGCAAATTCTTCAAATTTATCTTCCGCACATCCGAAACTACAATATCTCACAGACCCAATATATCGGACTAAACAGCAAAAAAATCAAAGTGCCAACTATGAGTTAAGGATGAAACGCGATTGAACGGAAAATACGTGTAGATAGGAGAAAAAGGCGAGAAGCTCGAAGCGTCTCGTACAATTTTGCAATATCCTAATCGATACGAGTAGTTTGAGATATGCACAACACGACGTTCCTTTTGCCATTTTTCAGCATGCAAGGAAAACGAGTACGACTGCGAGGATGCTACGTGCATCGCCGCGGAATTGCAGTGCAACGGGAGGGGGAACTGTCGCTTCCGGTGGGACGAAGACGACGCGACGTGCAGCGTGAGTTTTAGCTTTGTCGAAATCTGATTCAATACCGTTCTACGAAACACTATCCAATTCCCGGACTCGGACGATTTCCGGCGCGTCCTTCCACCCTTCACGCCCGCCTCGCGAGCCACCCTTCTCTACTCGTTTTACTGGTTCTCGCCTTCTCGTAAAGAGTAAACTGGGAAAGTTAAATCGCGCGAGATAGCGCGAGCGAAAAGGACCGTGAGATGAGTATGGACCGTGAGGCCGTAAAGATAATTCATGACGTTTCGGAGACGTATAGCGATTAAAGGGGTGGGAAGAAGAAACGGGGATAATCGTGCTCATTTGAGCTATTGAGGGAACGAATTCCAGAGGGAAGGGTCTGTCGCTCTTGAAATTTTTGTCGACTCAAATCTTACCCGGTACAAAGTGAAAAGCGGTAGTATTTTCACTCGAAGCGATTGCGAAAATACCGCCACTTGAAATCGCAAGAGTGAGTGTTTCACTCAAGCTTAGAGCGGATATGAGTGAATATCCCAGTCGTTTGGAATGAATACGTTCCTGTAACGATGAAGTGTATTGGATTCATTCTTCAATTCCGAGTGAAAATATTCACACGACGATTCAGAGCCGAGAATTCTGTTTCTAACTCTGTACGAGTGAAAAGTCACACGGATTACTTTATCTTTCGAATAAACTTGTACTCCAAGAAATTTAGAGAGTAATCGTTTAACTCACGGTCGGCATTATATAAGAATGAAAGAGTTTAGATATATATATATATATATATATATATATACATATATATATAATATATATGTATATATAAATATATAGACGTGTATGTGTGTGTGTGTGTGTAGTCGTGAAATTAGCCCATTTACGTCTCTAAATAACGTTTCCACTTGCTACAATTTAGTAGCATTTCCTGTTAGTTAAGCAGTCTCGTTCGCACATGCCTTCGTTTTGTATCACGAAGGTGTACGCGATACTGCAATATAGGGAGAACGATACGTCGCATCGTCTTAATTGCCCCCGAGCTACAACTCTACTTGCTCCTGATCTTCCAGGTTAATTAATTTATTCGAGGGAAGTTTTACGGCCCTCTAGTTTAACTGGCACGACGAACAAGGCTTCTCGGAACACGTAATCTCGGGACGGCAATTTGCTTCCTCTGACTGCGAGCAAAATCAGTTTTGTAGGCCGCGCGCTTTTGTCTTTTCGCGTAATTCTCTTCTCTCGCGTTCTACTCGGCCTTTACATCGTTGTGTTATCGGACGTTGACTTTATTCCGATTTTCATGCTGCTAATTTTCTCCCCTTGTCGTTCCACGACGGGGAATGTTCGATTTGGAAGAAATAATTCGTAGCCCCGATTAAACTTTCAACGCGACTTTGCTTAATTCGACGTTTTGACTCGCGCACTCGATCGCGGAGATGAGCATCTTTAAACACAAAGAACGGTAATTCGATTCTTGAAACCGCTGAGAGATATCGCAGAAGGCATGAATTATCTTTAGAAACGGTAGTCTCTTTAGAATATGGTGGGGAGTTCATGACCTTGATAAACGTCGCCGGGAACTTTGTAGTCTTTTAGGTGGGATTATCCAGGGAGTTTTCGGAAAGCTCATTTCACATCGCCCAGATTGAGATTCAAGATATGAAATCCTGCGGGAAGGTACGTTGACGAGACGTAATCATTTGACGACTCCCTCGTACCGCGCTTTACACGCTCTCTCGGATTGAGGAAAAACTGCGAACGGACTTCCGACATTCGCGGCAAGGCGGCATAATTTGACCTGAGCTTTCTTCTTCGTCGAAGAAAGGTTCGTTAACGAATCGGAAGTTACTGAGCACGAGAATCTTATCATTCTTTTGCTAAATATAACATTCATCACAGTATTCATATTAAGATAGCCGGTCCATAAATTAATTTTCTTAGAAATCCTTTCAAATTTTAACGGCATATTAATCAAAATACACGTATATAAAATTAGAAAGAAAATTGACCATATCAAAGCTGAGATAATTCAAGTCAAAGTTAGCAGTCGTAGGGACGAAGATAGCTTCCGTTTTTATTTTCAGCGATTAAATTACTACGGTTTTAATGAATAACGGATAAAGATGATGATAAAAGAGACTTATGAAAATATTATAAAACAATTGCAAGATTAACTGTCTAGTATACCAGAAATTGATACGTAAAATACACAATCTCTGATAACGATTGAAATATATACGGTAGCTAACATGTAAAGATTTAGCAAGTATTGTACCACAGATTTATATACGTCGATTGAGTACTTCCGCAAGATGCTGCGTACAGTGACTAGAGAGAGAAGTGTGTCTCGGGCAATCCATCTTTGTCTAGCTTTAGTGTTAAACTCCCACTTTTCTTTATGTGCGACGAGGATAGCATGCCTGCAAACAGTGGCAGAGGTATATAGCTATCTTTCAGTCTTGTCTTACGAGCCGTCATAATAAAGCACAATCTATATACAGAGTATCCCGGGATAAGGAGAACACTTAAATATCTCCTTTTAATGATATAAGAAGTGTATTTAGAGCACAATTTGAATAGTTTCGAAGGAAGAATACTGCGGAAAGGAATTTTTCTTACGATCATTTTTTTTTTTCGACTGTTTTTAAGGCTTTGATCCAGGTTCTTCGTGTTATATTAATTGGTATCTTTTTCATAGTATTGTCAAGGAGCAAATATTTTAAGATAAAGTCAACGTAATTTAATATTCCAAACCGTACGATCAGTTCTTTAACAATCGAAGGAGCCCGATCGAAAATATGTTACAAGAGTTTAATGTTGAATAAAATACCACAAGAATTTCTTTTCATTTCGTTATTATAACTCGTCACCTTTACATCTCCCGTCATAAGTTAATCTTCCTATAGTTTAGAGGAATGATAAATGATAAGAGAACGTCCTACAGTTGTCAGCTCTCAGAGACGCGACACTTTTTCATCCGTCATGAAAAGTATATTTCCCGAGCAATTATAACATATCACCCGCGCATGCATTTGCCGCCTCAATTATGCAGTGCTTCCCGATTAGCATCTCCGCGACGGCACGTCGCGGAGATGTACGCACGCTGTAAAATTTAAGCCGCGAATCGCTCTCGAATATACTTACCACGCCGACGCAATGAAGACTTGTATCAAACGTTGATGCATAATTTCACGCATGAGACGTTAACGCTAAATAGCGCCGTGGAGTGGCGCGTCCTTCTGCCAGAAATTAACCATAGTCTCTTATTTGTTGTAGAGCCATACCGCGAATCCGGGATGCGCGGGATCCCACGAGGGTCGTCCCCGCGACTTAATCGCCCTTCAACCCCGCAAAACGTCCCGTCTTGCCCGTCTCCCTCCTCGCCCTTCGCCCTCCTCCCCACCGCCCCGTCGCACTGCCTGTAGCACCAGGCTAATTAATTTATTCCGGCGAAGTTTTGCAACCGGGCGCGGCTCACTTAGCCCGGGTTTCGCGAGAGCCCCAATCTCGAGGCCCCCGCAATTCCACGGTGCTCTCCCTCGGTGGATATTCGGACGTGCGCTGCCGACGGTTATACGGGTGGGTGTTTCCGGTTCCGGGACGTACAATACTATGCGCTTTTGGCAGACTACCAGGACAAGGCACCGGCGAAACGACGGCGCGATGCCGCCGACGGGATATTAATCTAACGGCGAATATAATGCTCCTGATATTGCCGCGCGCGATTCCACCGCCGATGTTTCGCCAACGATATTTTATCGGAATCGTTCCCTCGGCACGGGCGTGAGAATTAAGTCGCGCAAGCTGCGCCAGCGAATCGACCGAACGACGAGATCGCGAATCACGGCCCCGAGAATCGCCGCGTCGAAGCGGGATTTTTAATACCATTGTTACCGTGACGTTTGATACCATTAATATCGTTTAGCGCTGAAAACGGCACACAGGAACGGTTTCTTTGTATTTAGTATTCTCACTTCTCTCGCTTAGATATATTTGACTTCGACAACATGACTTTATGTTCAATTATCGTTTTGTGTTTCATCGGATTAAACCAGGTTGTTTGATGGAAAAAATACTCTTATTTAAAGGAAAGAAAATTTAATTTTCAGCCAAACAATGTGTTATTTGGCTATACAATATTTTTTAAATTTTGTTTCAAAGGAGTAAATCATGTTTGATCGAATAAAATATTGTTATACGTTTTGTTTTTCAATCTTATTCTGTTTGGATTAACTAATATCATGTTTGATTAAATATCTAAGAACAATCATGGCGTTCTTCGTTCGCTAATGTACATTCTGTCAATATCCGTTGCGTATCGACTGTTGTTGTATCGTTTTAAACGGTTGCTATTAAGTATAGCATAAAACTGATTTTTGAACATTATAAGGATATATTACAAGTATAACGTTACAAGTACGCCGAGGAAAAAAAATTGAAATTTTGTGAAATAAATGTTTCTTCTGCCTTTTTTCGATATTTATTGGTTAGAAAAAAATTTGATTGTGACGAGGGAATATATATTTTTGTGAAATATACCTAAGTTTTCTTATTAATTGGTTTATTTGTTAAATCAAAAATAGGTTTGTTATAGATTCAATAGATAAATTTATTTGAATTGAATAAAACCTATTAAATACAAATAAATCGTTCTCTCTGTGTATATGTGCGGGTGCGTGGATGTGTATATTTGTGAAGTAAAATGTTGGAGAACTTGTTCCCTCAGCCGTTCAGTCGATTACGGAAATACAGATTGTATAGGTTATCGAACCTTCGGATATAGAGGAAACACATGGCATATAAATGGAAAATCTATCATCGTCCGTTGCTGCTGATATATAACAGATAACTTAAATTGGACGATTATTACGTACCAAAAACCGTGAATGAAGTTCGCAATAAAACGAAAAGGCACTGCCCCTATGAAATTCTCGTTCGGACTGATGTTGATTCGGTGAATTTGTTATTTTTAATGCTCCACGGGGAATGGATTATCAGCGCGAACCGGCAATCGCTGGCCGAAAACATTT